AATAACCAACTACCCAGCTAAGATAATGGCCATAAATATATTTTACAACACTCTCCCTTGGCAATTATTATCTTGTTACAACACTCATACCTCATTAAAAACTTTGATAGGAAAAAATCCTGTGAAAAAAAAACCTAATGGAGGAGATTTTCAAGAATGTTGCGAGTGCTGATTGGTGATCGAAAAGCCTTCTTCTGTAGTGCTGTTTGAATGTTATAATTATTGTATGAGTTCTACTACATAGACTCCAAAAATTCTACTCCCTCATTTGTACTCCTTGAGGAGACAAATTAGGATTGGTTATTTTCATCATGTGGGTCCACAGAAACGTTTCTATCTCAAAAGCATGTGAGAGGGAGTACAAGTTGAGAGTTTAAAATGGAAGTACACCAAGTATTTTCCATATTGTATTAGTTTATAAATCATGTGTGAAGTAGTTAGCGGATGATTTGGGCAAAACTAGTAGATTATGAAAACTGTTTTAATGTGTTTGGATATTGTAATTAATTAGTGGTTTTTGTTTTTTGAAAGCTAATTAGTGGTTAATTTGTAGGGAATTTGTTAATCTATTGCAATAGCTGGTGTAGTATGCTAAAGAAATCAAGGCAAATCCATTCTGAATTTTAAATACACAAGTTTTATATAACTTCCTTTATAATTTCCTCTTCTATAATTTCCTTTTTATATATATATATATATATATATATATATATATATATATATATATATATATATATATATATATATATATAGCGTTACATTCACATGAAAACACTCTTAAAATATAAACATGTAGACACATCCCGTGCACACACCTAAATGCGGGTGTGCACACATTCGTGGACGACAATGCACATATCCGTGGATGACAATGCACAAATCCAATACAGTATGCATGTGTGAATCCACAATATTTGGGCCTGCGTGCACACGTCCATGAACGACAGTGCACACAAGCGGACAGCACACAAAATCATAAAAGCTAATCACAACCTTAGATACCTAAAATCCAACGATCCAGAAATGTCCACATGTTTTTACATGAATGTAATTATATATATATATATATATATATATATATATATATATATATATATATATATATATATATATATATATATATATATATATATATATATATATATATATATATATATATATATATTGAGTCCAGTGAAACCCCCTAGTCAGGTGAGATCATGAGATTCGATCTTGAGCATCCGATCATGAGATTCGATCCTGAGCATCCGATCATGAGATTCGATATGAGCATCCGATCATGAGATTCGATCCTGAGCATCCGATCATGAGATTCGATCCTGAGCATCCGATCATGAGATTCGATCCTGAGCATCCGATCATGAGATTCGATCCTGAGCATCCATTTTTTTTAACGGCTAAGATTTCTAGTTTGTTTTATTTATTAATGATTGATCTGTATTCTGTAACTAGTCGAGGGCACGCACTTTGCGCGAAACGTCATGCCCAACAATCAATTATTATATATGTTCTAATTTTTTATTTTTTATTTTTAAAACAAGTATGTTCTAATTTTTAAATAATAATATATATAATTTTTAATAATTGTTATATGAAAAAATAAATAAGAATACAGAAATAAGTTGTTTAGATACCAACATGATATACAAGAATTGAATTAGAACATGCCGGAGGACATTAGATTTGGTTTTGAGGGAGAGAATGGAGATGTTAGCTAAAATAATGTAGTGGTTTTCTAAAAAAAATGTTGAAAAAAAAAAAGAATGGAGTGTTGGAATGGTGGAGAAAAAAAAAAGACAAAGATCACATCAAGGCAAAAAGGAAGAAGACAAAAAAGTAATGGTAAAGTTGTTATTTCTTTAAAAATTGTGGGCAATTAAAATGAAAAAATAAATAAAAAATTAGATCAAAAAATTTCATCCATTAGATTTGAAATCAATGGTAAGCAAGTGGTGCCATTTTTGAGGGGCAAATGGCAACTCCCAAATATAAGTATAGGGGAGATATACTTGGGGGTAGGGGAGTAAATTTGCACGCGCATTTAATTTGTTTCCGTTTCGAAATCTGTATAGTCTCTTTCTTTCCCTGTGCGTGTTTGGTATTCTTATCCCAAAGTTGCAGTTCTTCTCGGTAAAGTCGCAGTCCAGCCGAATTCTCCTAGTACCGTCAAACCCTTCACGTCGGTGGTTGTAGTACCGGATTCTTCATGATTGGCTGCTCTATCAAGCGGTCAAAGTGTCGAAAGAGTAGTTGTTCCAGTGGTGGTCAAGGTATTTCGTACTAAAATACCTATTGTTTTAAATAGATGAGTGACCGACATGATAAATTTTGGTACTAAAATAATAGTCGTGGATTAAAATTGGTACTAAAACAATAGTCGTGGATGAAAATTGGTGGGAATTAAACATGTGGACGAAAACCGTCATTTTTCTAATACTCGTTGGACCAAAATTGGTTTTCGTGATTTCGTGATTTTGGTTTTCTATGTGGTTTTTTTTTTCTTTTTTTTTTTTGTGGGGGGGGGGGGGGGGGGGGGGTTCATCCGGTAGGGGGTTTGTGCTTTTGTGTTGTGTGGCGGTTGTTCTTGAGGGGGGATGTCGGCGGTGGGTATAGAAATTCAGTGCGTTCAGAAGACCCATCCATAGACAAGATTCCTTTTCTCGTGAGGTCTAAGGTATTTTGATCCATCTCTATCCTGCATTGAGAATAATTGGGACAATACTCCATCTTATTTGAACATTGGACAAGGTTCATATAAATTTGGTATCAGAGTCTAGGTTTATCTCATAATCAGTACAAATTTGGTTCCTTAGGTCATATATCATAACCTTTGCAAATTTGTTTCCTTAGGTTATTAAATATTAAAAAAAAAAAACATATGATTCTTATTTTACATACCATTTTTTTTTTTGTCTTATACATCAAAAAAAAAAAATTTAAAAATAAAAATTGCTTTCTTGATTGTGTTCTTGAAACCTTCCAAAAATCTCTCTTCTTTGGTACAAGAATTGATGACAATTATGCTTGTGTTGTGTGCGTTCATATGTATGATGGATATAGTCAAGTATTTCTCCTTGTTACAAATTAAATTGGAATTGTTTTCAGCGCTGTGTTAACATAACTGGAAATATCAACATTTTATTTTTTTTCTTCAATTTTAAGAATGTTTAATATAAATATATATAAGCTCTTTCTTTCTTCTTATTTAAAAGTTATCATAGTTAATAATCTCTATTTGTTGGTATAAGTTAGTGATTATTCCTTAATTATATTGCTTAACTTTGGAGGCTTAAATCATAACATGGTTAACAAAAATTAAGGACTATGTACTTACAACTATGGATTGAAACCACTAATCACTATAACTAGAGACTAATAATATACTTTTCCCATATATACATTACTGTAAAAAAAAAAAAATGAACAAAATTTAAAAATCAAACCTTTGCATATTGTAATAATTTTAATCAAAATTTTTAAATTTTAATGATGTTCACCAATATAATTTTACTCTTCAACTTAAAATATCCATCCAAACTCTCAACATATTGACATGTTATTTTAGGAAGTTTTCTTAATATTTATTGTATGAAGCAAATAATACTTATATTTGCATCTCAAAAAAACAAAATACTTATCTTATGATTACCAACCGAAAGGTCTTTTATGATAGTTTAAGAAGATGAATCCATTGGCTGCCAATAAGAAGGTGATCAAGAGAAGATGTCCTACTCCCAAGAAGGTTCAGGTAAACATACAGACATGCCATTGTTGTTTAATTTTGAAGTTTGATGCATATAATAAGACTGAATACCCCTTCTTGCACTACATACACTTCCTCTTACTACCTTATTAGCTTACTATTGAGGAATGATGGGATTAGTGTTGGTTGAAATTAAGTTAATAACACAACTTACTTTGACGAAATAAGATATTTTTAGAGTGTATATATGTTTTGGCTAGTATAAGGACTGTTGATGTTGTATTATTCCTTGTGCCAAATTGATTCATTTGAGGTTCTGCAACTTCCTGATGCTTACTTGGCCCGCACTATTTGATTGAGCAGGCTAAAGGTGAAGGTTGTAGGAGGGAGTATGGGTGTGTTGATGAAAACTCCATAGCTATGAGGAGAGGTCGAGAACTTCAAGCAAATCTTTCACCTCAATTTCCTAGTGTAGTCAAGTTCTTGCTCCATTCTCATACTACTAGTGGATTTTGGTTGGTAAGCCCTGCCCACATAATTAATCATATCTCTTTAATTTAGTGTTAATTAGGTTAAATCAAGTAATCTAAGCATGCTTATCACTGTGCCATCATTCTCAAATATAATATAATATAATATAATGATCTGATCTGATAGGGTCTGCCAAAAGATTTCTGCACTTGTCATCTGCCAAACCATGATACTGCTATTATTTTGGTGGATGAAAATGGAAGAGAAACAGAGACCAAGTACCTTATTGAGAAGCATGGCCTGAGTGGTGGATGGAGAGGATTTTCCCTCCAACACAACTTGGTTCCCGGGGATGTTGTAGTTTTTCAGCTAATCCAACCTCTCAAGCTTAAGGTAGGTAACCCCATCCATAGCCTATCAGTGTCCTAGTTTTTCAACTTATCTTCAGCCTTCAAAGAATTAGCCTCATTTTTACTCCTTTTCCTTGTTTTAGGTGTACATTGTTCGGGCAAATGACTCGGCAAATATTGCGGGTGCTATCAGCCTTCTGGATTTAAGTCATTATGCACACCCAATTGCAACTGGTATGTATGTTTTCCTTGTTCCTTTGCATTAATTGAATAAAGTAAGTCTACAAAAAACCTAGCTAATTGATGTCCGATCCTCTCAGTTGTGTTACATTATATTGCCTCATCAACGGTAGACCTGCATTTGAGTGCTACTGACTCTGTTAAAATTAATGTAGCATCTGTTCATCATATCTACTTTCTAAATCTATTGAAGCACAAAAAATCAATATCACCCCCGGCCACTAAGACTCAAGCACATGACCTCCCATTTGGGACAGTCAGGTCATTGGCTGATATATTGGTATTATTCTGAAGAATATATTGTACATTTTATATCTCATCAATATAGGCTTTATATTAGACACTGATTCACTAACAATTTCTAGATATTCATCCATCCATCCAACCAAACTATGCCAACTTGCACAAACCAACATATATAATATTCATTAGGACTGAAGCATGTATGCATAACTTTTTCTGTTATTCCAGAGGGTTTACTGCTGGAAGGTGATGATATTGAGGAAAATGTGTTGAGAATTGAAGATGCTGCAGATCAGTTAACCAGAATACAGCATGAAGGTGACAATCTGGAGAGACAAGTCTCTACCTCAAACCACTTATCTGCAGAGAATGTGGTTGAGTTTTCACAAGTGAAAAAATTCGAGGATTTTAAGGTTGTTGTCAACAACATAAACATAGATTCTGAGATCTCCGAAGATACCAGGCTCAAGTACTATGAGATGTGCCGCAGTCGCAACGCGTATCTTCATGAGCTTGAAGAGCCTGGGTTGAACTACACGCTAATCGCCGGGGCAATAAAAGAAACTGTGAAAATCGCCGATGGCATCAAAGCTGCCACGCTCGCAACGGGCCGTGATGTTCTGGAAGTATGGGACAGAACTCTGATAGGGGTGGGGCATTTCGGCATGGAAGTGGGGTTCTTGCGCGGCAGGTTAAGCGAGCTGATTAGGCTGTGCGAGGCGGCCGAACTTGTCGCCGGAAAAGAGAAAGAAAAAGCCATAGCTGAAGTGGAGATGAAACATCTCCTGTACAAGCTGTCAAAGGTGAGTTTGGTGATTAAGAATTTGGATGAGGAGATCAAGACACACAACGGCGGGGAGAGGGTAGAGGAGGTTTTCAAGAATGTTGCGAGTGCAGATTGGTGAAAGCCCATGTATGGCTGTTGTATCTAATTCATTAGTGGCTAATTTAATTTGTTGGGAATTTTAAAGACAGAAGTTTTTCTTTCCTCTTCTAGAATTTCTTTTATATATAGATATAGAATCTTGATCAAGTCCAACCGACTCATCCTGTGTGAGGATCGTGCTGTCGTCTCATGATGCACCCCTCCCGTGCGACGACGGTGTGGCCGTCTCATTGCCGATTCTCTACTTCTTCGATCTTTTATCACATACAAAAATGTAATTTTTTATGGTCCATAAAAAAATTGCCTAATCTACTTCACCAATAAAAGAATTTCCTCAAATTTCGACTATTGTTTGTGTGACCCATACCCCGAAACACTAAGGGGGGTGTATTCAATCCAGACTTTTAAAGAATTTTAAAGACTTTTAACGACTTTCAGAGTTTGGCTGTATTCAATTTAGACTTTTAAAGACTTTAGAAGTCTACCGGTATTCGATTCAGACTTTTCAAAAGTCTTTAAAAGTATACTGGCATTCGTTTCAGACTTTTATAGTCTCTAAAAGTCTACTGGTATTCAAATATTTATCAACTTTCATAGACTCCATCAGAATAGGATTTCTGTAGACTTTTTCTTCATTTATATAAATAGATGAAATCCAACCCTCCAATCCCAAACTTTTCAATTTTCTCTACATACTTTTTCTTCCCAGATAAGTTTTTCATCAATTTCTATCAAATTTTACGGTACGTTTCAAACTTTTCATAATATTATACTTTGTAATTTTTTTATTATATTTTATGCAATTTTGTTTTGTTGCGAACAGCAGCAAGAACTTCTTGCTGCTATTCGCAGCAGGGTTGTTGTTCACAGCAACAACGTAACCATGCTGCGAAATTCGCAGTCAGAAATTTTCTATAACTTTTTTGCAATTAGTAGAGCTAATGTACTCAATTTTTTTTTAATTTTTTTTACATAATTAACATAATTTTATGTTATTATATGTTAATTAATTATTTATATATGTAATTGTATTAAGTTGAATTTTTTTATGATTATAATTTTGAACAACTGTTTGAAACTCAAGAGCAACAACAAGAGCATGCCAATGAATGGATGGCTCAAATAGCTTTGGATATGTGGAGAGACACCCAACAAGGTGAAATCAATTCCAATAAAAAATAATTGTACTAACAAGATGAATATTTTAATTTGTACTTTTTCATTTTAGACATTTTGATAATTATATTACTCAACATTAGTCGTTTCATTACTTAAAGAAATATTTGTATTGATTATATTTAGTGAAAATTGATTGTATTTTCTTTATGTATAATATACTCTATTTTTGTGACAATGAATATTTATTATTTTTTTTTTTTTTGCAATACATTCATTTATTTATGATTTATAAAAATATATTTTTGTAAAAAAATTATAAATAATATATTAATAAAAGTTATGGAATGTTTTGTAAGGGTGTATTGAATTTAGTGTTTTAATGACTTTTGTGGACTTTTTCATATGAATTTTTTTTCAAAAGTCTATAAATGGTTGTCCTATAGATTTTTAAGGACTCTTACAAAGTTGATAAAAGTTTAAAAGAATCTAGGAAAGTCTACAAAATCTCTACAAAAGTCATTTAAAATCAATCACTTTTAAAGTCTTTGAAACTTTTTAAAAGTCTTGATTGAATACACCCCCCTAAGTCTCTACGTATTTGGGCATCTCACTTTCTATTTTAAGCTATTTCCTAAATTTCATACCTTACTGTCTGTCACTCTATCCCCAACAAAAACGTGCGGTCAACTCACCACCGTACGTCTATTTGCTTCACTCCATCGTCAAATCAACGCCTTCCATCACCGACTCATCACAGTTTTCATTTTCATTCGGCGAAACTCCGGCGCTTTGATTTTCCATCGGCGACTCTCCGTCGCTCCGATATTCCTTCAACAACTCTTTTTCGCTCCGATTTTCTATCGTTGAGTCTCTATTGTGTTGATTTTCCATCGAAGACTCATTGTTGCTTCGATCGTCCATCATCGGTTCTCAATTGCTTCAATTTTCTATCGTCAACTCTCCTTTGCTTCAAATTTCCAACGACGATTCAATTCTGCTTCGATCTTTAATCACAGATTTTCTGATTCTTCAATTTTCCACCGCCGACTCTCTATTGCTTTGATATTTTTCTGCTTCTTCAATTTTCCACCGCCGGCTCTCTATTGCTTTGATATTCCATTTCAACTCTTCGTTGAATTGATCCACCATCGCAGACTCTCCACTACTTCAATTTTTCATCACCGGCTCTCTACTACTTTTGCGTTTCAAGCCCACTTCTACTACCTATTTGAGCCTTTTACTCCTACACCGATGTAATTTAAATCTTTTTGTAGTTTGTGTGTTTGTAATATAGAGAATAGATATATTGAAAGTGTAGAATGAGTAAAAAATAATTCAAATAGGCCTCTCAATTTATTAGTCAATTTTTGTTGTTTATTACCCTAATTTCTCTAATTTTTTTTGGAATGGTACTAACTCTAGTATCTGTTCAAACATACTTTCTCAACCTAATGAAGCACACAGAGTCAACAACGCCTCCACTTAGCCTCGATCTCATGACCTCCGCATGAGAGAGGTCACTACATGCCAATTGCTCTATATTATTTCTTAAATCTCATTTCTCTTCATCACTCACTCCTTATTAATGTATATTTAGCTATCATATTTCTCTCAATTTTAGATAGTCTTATACTCTCTTTCAGCTAAATGGAAAATAATATAGTACTCCCACGGCCAATAACACTTTTTATTTGTTTATTTTCTTTAATATTTTCTATTTTTTTTTTTTGTGTTGAATAGAACTTTTAATATTATTTTTTTTTAAATATGTAAATTTTATATACTAAAACTGATACAATTGTGGGTTCCTATGCTGCAGTTTCTATTATTATTATCTAAAAACATAATAAGTGTAGATGAAGGTTATACTTCATTTATGTCCGTTTTTTCCATTATGTTTTTTTATACATTATGCAATAAGAGTTGTACTTTTCAATATTTTGGACAAACATACCCCTACCGTTATAACTTCCGTTATCTTTTCCACCATTGTTACCATGCACATGCATCCACCATATATTTTATTATCTTCTTCAATAATAATAATATGTATACATTATATATTGGAGTTATATGTTAGTTATTTGCTACCATATAAATATCAAATGTATAAACATGTTTTACATTATTGTTATTATTTATAATAATTTAAATATCAAAAATCTTAATATAAAATACTAATATTGGGCACATATTTTTTTGCGCATCGCGCAAAAAATAAATACTAGTTATTATTATATAGTAGTGGGATAACCACTAATATAGGCATAGTTTCTATTATTATTATTATTATATAGTGTGATAACCACTAATATAGGCATTTCATGGGCATGTATTACACTTTTCTTATCCCAAAGGCTGAATCCCCAACCCTAAGGTCCCCCACACTCCGACTTGACAGAGCATGTTGGATGTATTACACTTTTCTAGTAGTTGGGTTAGTGGGTGGTTTATGTGATCTTGTATATATGGCCACCTATGCAAATGTATAAGGACTGAAGAATATATTAATGGATGTATGGTGACATTTATCTTCTTGATCTCCATTTATTGCAGTTAAACTATTACGCGAAGCATAGGCCCGATTTGGTAAAATAAATAGCCTATCAACCAATGTTGGTTTATTTTACCACTATTATATATATTAGCTGTTTGACTTGGTTAAACAATCAATATGAGTGTTAATTAATTAGCTTATTGCAACAACTTAAGAAATCAATTAAAAAATTTAATAGAGATACCAGTGAAAACAAGAACTGAACGATGGAGCATGCATCAAGGGACTTGGATTTACTTCTTTTATTATCATAACTAGTAAATTATCCGTGCGATGCACGAATATTTTTAATAAATATTTAAATAATAAAGTTAAAGGTCAAGTTATAAATAATAATAATAATAAAGTGAAAGGTCAAGTTATAAATTATTATAATAATTAGAAGAGTACAATTTTGTTGGTTTATAAAATAAGTGCAAAAGTATGAATAGATATGTACAGAAGATAATAAATTTAATAACAACTATAATATTAAAATTTGATATTATATTGATTTGAAATTGTTACAAATTTTGAAAAACTTCCTTGTATACAATGTTTGTTGTTGAAGTTGTTTTATTGCTATCACTATCGCAAATCAATATTTTCAAACCATTTGGAGTAGTGACCCTTGAAACTGCAACATATAATTGTCCATGACTAAATACAGGTTTTTTCAAGGATAGAGTTGTTCGAGACAATAAGTTTCTAATCACATATAAAGAGCCCTCATTGAGGATACACTTGAATTTTTCAACATGTTGTTGTTTGAATGTCAAGTGTATACGTGTACCCTGATATATTAATTAATTACAAATTTTGAATAAATAAATAAACAATTTTTTGAATGATGATACAGTTTCTATTTGTTTCGTACAATATAAATAAAGTACCATTACAAAATTGTTCAATCACGGGTTAACAAAACTAAGCATGATAATGTAAGAATGCATGTACCGGATACAAAATATCATTACAAATTTATTATTTGACCGTAATCATTATTATCAATGATTTTATAATTTCATAAATGATGCAAAATACCTTTAAAAATTTTTAAAATAAGAATATTGTACATGTTACACTAAGTCCAATAAAAAAAAGTAATAAAATAAAATACATATAACTCCAATCTTTATTTCCTAAATTACAGCAATTTAGGAATGGAATAACACAAAAGTTATTTATTACATGATTATTTATAACACAAAAGTTATTTATACAAATTTTAAAAATAAGCATGATTATCTACAGAATACATATATTGGGATAATGTTTGAATGCATATACTGGATATAAAGACTTTAAAAATACAATAAATGGGAAAAAGTTAAATTAAACATTGAACACTAAATATGATAAAT